AGAACTAAGTTAAACGGGCACAGAGCTTCCCCCCGACACCCAGCCTGAGACACGGGCCGGCAGCGGCGGGCAGGGCCAGGCTGCACAAGCCGGGCGGAGGACGGGGGCGGCTGCACGGAGGCAGCTCCGGGGGAATGCAAGGGGCTGGGAGCCAAGGCTGTGGGTACACAGGACAGAAAAACCTGGGCCCTCCATAAAACAGCAAGGTTGATGTGCTCTCGGGGGAAGGGTGCATACCCCCATCTCTGAAAACCCATGGAAACTTTTCAGGGGAAGAGAGGCGGGGCCCAGGCACAGCTGCCATATCCTTGGGTGCTTAGCACCCAGGCGGGGGCAGGGGTGAAACCTGCATCCGCACCGAAGGGCTCAGCAGCCTCAAAGGCCAGACTGAGACTGGCCTACAGCCCGGGGCAGGGTTGGGATCCTTCCATCCTGGTCCCTCAGAGAACTTGTTCCACAAAGACAAACAAGGAGCTGGGTCTTGGCTCGGAGCAGGGACGAGGCTGCCCCTCGGTCTTCCCCGAGCCCACCCGCGGAGCGAGGCCAGGGCGGAGGGCAACCAGGGCGGAGCGCGCAGCCGCACAGAGCAGCGGAGTTACCGGCAGCGCAGACAGAGGGAGAGCGGCCCCCCCCAACTGTCAGGCAGGAGCACAGCCCCGACCGAGGTGCTGGGAGGGGGCACTACCAGCCCTCCTGCCTGGCCATTCTGCAACATCTGACTGCGGCATCCAGAGGGGGAGTGACCCGCCCGCCCGCAGCAGAGGAGAGCTGCATCAGACTCTGTGTTAGGAGGAGGCGCGATCTGCTTCCTGACAGGTGCTGGGAGCAGCACAGAAGAGGGCGCCAATGGAGGGCCTATGAAAACAAGCTGAGCTTCCAAAACAGGACAAAGACAGAAGGACTTCACATTAAAAGCACACAGACTCCAGGAGAACACCGACAACCCCATATTTTTTGTTTTTTTGGTTTTGTTTTTGTTTTTTTTTGTTTTTTGTTTTTTGTTGTGTTCTTAAATCTGTTTTCACCAGTTCTATTTCAATTACTCTCTTAATTTTTAGTTCTTAATTCATTTCTATTTCTCTTGGGTTTTGATGTCCTGTTATTGATTAGACACAAGCTTCAAATACAGCTATTCATCTCCCCACCCCTTTTTTTCTTTTTCTTTTTTTTTTAAAGGTTTTACAAGGACGTCTCAACCCGATTAATACTCTGCTTCAACTCGCTCTTCTATTATTCATTATACACTGTTTTCAAACCCTCTTTCTCCCTTCTTTTAAAAATCTTTCTCTCTCTCTCTTATTATTTCTTTCTTTTTTTCCTAAGTTCTATTCATAAATAGGCATTAGATAGATAAAATCCTTAAGATCCAAAATAGACAACTGATACTCCATAAACCACAGTGCAAGAGAGGTATGAGAAAGATGAAGAAGCAGAGAAACCTTTCCCAATTAAAAGAACAAGAGGAATTCCCTGAAAGAAATAGACATCGATAGCCTACTAGATCAAGATTTCAAAAAAGGAGTGATCAAATTGCTGAAGGAATTAAAAGAGATAGTGCTTAGAGAGATAAAA